CCCCCCAGACCCCCCCCGATAAATTACAACTCCCCTCATAGACCAAGAGGCACGCACTGCGTTGGCGCGTTTTCGTTCATGTGCGCACGCTTCATGCACATGCATAGATAGTTCTGGCACTGTTTGTGAACAAAAAGTAAATCCGACCAAGCAAAGGCCCAAAGCAAGCAACCGCATAGCAAATCAAAGGCCGTCACCCGCCACTGCAAACCACAGCACACTGGGACTCTACCGGTTCATCATGTACCGGCCCCTGCTGCTGCTGTCCAGCCACTTCCTCAGTGCGTCACGGAACGGGAACGTGCCCAGATCGAACAGGTCCTGGGTAAACATCCGCACACACAATGCTAGGTGCTCATGCCCTTGCGGATGCGCTGTGTCTGAGCCCGCTTGGCACTGCGAGCACTCGGGTTGGGCGCCTCGCCGCATTCGTTGTTGTCAAGCTGATTGGGTGACAGCTTGCGCTTATGCTGATCACAACCGCCATGGAAGGCAGGGGTAATGGCGCCCGTGTCATCGGTCGCCGCTGGCAGCAACATTGCCGATGCATTACCGACAACAGCACCGCCGTCCCAAACGCCTTTATCAGGAAAAATTTTAGACTTATCTTGCTGTTTTTGTGTTTGTTCGGCGTTCAAGTCGTTGCCTTTTGCGTGTTTGTCTATGGAAGGACCGGTCATACATTCTGCTATGCCGCGTTGACTCACGGGCTTGACCTTCTTACGGCCCCTCATATCTATTTTATGATCAATAATACTAAGTTCTGCACACTACGGAGCAATCTGGCAGCAATGGACGTTTTTGGCTGAAGGAATGAAAATGTACGGATCGGCCTCACTTTGTTCCTTATTTCCAAAGGCCAAAAAGGCCTCTTTATTCCTTAAAAGTAATATATTACTTAAAAAAAAACACTGGTCACCATGGCACCACTGCCGTGTGTTACACGTGACATGGAGGCCAACCTGTGTGTGCCCAAGCGGGTGGGCAGACACCACGGGTGCAGACACAGACAGTGAATACACATTCAGCATCGACACCATGAACCGAGATGAGTTCTTCTTGCTCCCCTTCACTCTGAATGTGGGGACGATTGTGCCGGTCGCAGCTCCAAAAAAGAGACACGGCCGTTTGAGCCGAAGTGAACATGGACAGCTGTCTGTTCAATGTAAACCGCGACCCTTTGCTGCTGGCTGCTGCACGTATTGCGAATGAGCCGTTCACAACAGCAGGACTTTCAGCAACTTGGGCCCAGCGGGCCGTGTCCCACACCCCCCGTGCGCGTGATGTTGTTTCTGTACTTGGCACAGATTCATACAGTGAATTGTGTTACACCTCAAAGCGGGTTTGAAACGGTCAAAGCTTTGTATTGCTGTCTTGGAGGAGCGCCTGGAGATGTACCCCCTTGACCGTCGCCACCTGGCGGCGCATGTGTATGGATTGTTGCACAGTCTACGGAAGACCGCTCTTGTTTTGCAAGTCAGTCACTCCACAGTCGCGAGATGGCTGGCTTGTCCAGCCCGTAAGCCCTACCCACCATGACAATCTTCCAAGTCGCTTGTGATTGGGCCCGCCTTGCGGGCCATGGTTTTGGCCGATCCATTCATCTGTCTGTCAAAGCTGCGGGAACGTGTTCACACAGCCCTGGGTATGACAGTATCTACAGAGCTGCTTAGGATCATCCTAAAATGTCAAGGATTCTCCCAAGTTCTTTTCGCACTTCATCACAGTCGATACGTCCGTGCTACATGGCATCCTACACGAGGCGGGCTATGTAGGTGTGGCCTGCGGCATGGGCGCCTTCACAGCGTTGGGTCCTTCACATTGGGAGGCGGCCTTCAAGATTGGCCGCATAAGCGGCAGGCAGGCAGCCTTCACAGGGACCATGGACACGGACGGAACGGCCGCCTGCTTCCACTTCAAGCGCCCCAGGGACAATATGTCCAGGGGTGCAGCGGGTTGCGAAACCAACCTTGCTGCCTTGCTGCCAACCTTGCTGCCTTGCTGCTGCCTTGCTGCCAAGGCAGACACAGTGGACGCGAAGGTGCAGCGACGGCGGCTGGTGCAGCTGCTGGAGGCGCACCCAGGTGCGGAGGTGGTGGGTGTGGACCCGGGCCGCACCAACATCATCTACACCGTCAAGAGGCTGGCTCAGCAACCCGTCAAGAAGAGGCTGGGTCAGCAGCCCGCCCAGCTACAAGCTGACGCGCAAGCAGTACTACGTGGAGAGCGTGGAGAGCGGCGTGGTAAAGGCCAACACACAGAGCACGGCGTGGCAGAGCTACCCTGCCATGCGGCAGGCGCTGGCAGTGCTGGCTGCCACCAGCTCCAAGTGCGTGGATGTGGAGGGCTTCCGTCATCACGTGGCTGTGGTGTTGGACAACAGTGAGATGTTGTGGAGGGAGCACCTCAAGCCGCGGTGGGTGCAGCCGCTGCTGCACCTGTACGGTGGCGAGAAGCGAGTGTTTGCACAGTTCTTCAAGCGGCTGCAGGATGGTGACCCTAACAAGAAGGTGATAGTGGCCTACAGCGCCGCCAAGTTTGCACCGGTAGGCGCGGGTGAGCTGGCAGTGCCGACATTGCGGGTGTTCAAGGAGTGCTGCCAGCGGTTTGTGACGTTTCCTGTAGACGAGCTCTGGATGACAGCAGTGTGGAATGGGGACAAGGCGACAGTCTTGCAGGCTGGCCCCACACTGTCAGGCCTTGGAGTTGCAAAAAACCACTGTAGTTGGCCACCCCGTTAACGGCACAGGACTGGCTACTTTACTCACAATGGCAGTTCCGCACATATCTGCGTCGCTCAACCTCCTGTCCTATGCATCAGTTATTGCTTTGGTGCTTCAGGCAGCTGTTGGCCCATGCTGTCGCAGCCGATGCTGGCCAAAGCTGAGCTTACGGAATGCACAATGGTCGCTTGGGACCAACTTTACATGGCCATTGTTATAGAATTGTCGAAAAGTAGCAGGGGCTCTTTACACATTCTTTCGAGAAGATTCTATAGGGCACACTGCCGTTCCGAGCTCCCATGCCATGATCTCTGAATAATTTCGTTAGGTAATGTGCAGAGCGTGCCGTGCTGTCCTGCCACGCTGCGTGCTCTCAAAACTTTCGTCAGATTGAATGTGTAGAGCGTGCAGTGCTGTCACACTGCATGCTCTCAAAACTTTCGTGAGAAAATTCTTCGAGCCTCCTCAGATGCATGGTGCATCCTTTTCGGCCGTACTTGGGATAATCTTGGATACCAGGCTTAGCCTCTGAGGATAGGGGGATTCCTGCGGAAAGATCCTGAGTTAAATGCTGCATGTATGGGGCCCTTATCAGCGGGGTGGGGGTTCATGTTGATTTATGATTGCTCCGCAATCATGGTGCAGCCTTAAATGCTCTACCTCATGCTGTGGGAATTATGTGTTCCCTCCGCAAAACTGCACGAGGCCGCTCCACAGCAAACCTTGTGGGAACACCACAGCTCCCCGAGCTTGCTCCCCTGAAAACTGTGCATGGCGGTAAAAGAAAACCACAGGCCGGGGCACTAAACCAAAATTACATACGTAATATACAAACTGGCTAAAAACCGCTCCGAGCAAAAACACGGACTAGCAACAGGCCCAAGCAGCTACCAGAACACAGGGGGGCCCGCTACATTTCCAGCAAGCTTACTCTGCCACCAAGACAGTACCGAAAAGTACACGCGAGGTCGCGCCTGCAATCTGCAGTCAGTGTGGGTCTAGGCCGGATGCCCTAGCTGGTACAAGTTCGCAATGTTGGCCGCCCATGGCGTCACCAGCAAACAGGGTGCTGCTGACCACCAGGCCGGCGGGCGCAGAGCCATCCAGCAGGACGGTGTGGGAGGTGGAGCCACCAGCGGCGGTGAAAGAGTACGTCAACACCGCCAGCGTGCTGAAGTCAAACATGGCGGGTGTAAGCACCTCGGTGTACTGCTTGGTGGCACCCCCAGTGGCAGTGTCAGCATAGTGCATGTAACGACGCAAATGCCAACCTGAGCATCCCGGGTTTCGCCTTTGCTGTGTTACAATGGTATCGAGACGGGACCGCACAAATTCCGAAATAAACTTCGGGTCGGCGGTTCGATTCTGGCAACCAGCAAGTCGCAAATTGGCGATTTCATGGTGTAATGGATAAACCAGCGCACTGGCGCGAGGTGGGATGGCTCCTGTGCTCGAAATAATGGCCGAGGACGTCCATTGCTAAGTGGGGGGCAATCTAACGACGCAAATGCCAACCTGAGCATCCCGGGTTACGCCTTTGCTGTGTTACAGTGCAGCTCGCTGATGAAGACGGAGGAGCCTGAGCATGATGAGCCGGACGAGCCAACAAAGCAGCAGAAGGGGCATGCGGGTCAGGACGGCATGCAAGATGAGACAAAGACAAGGGAGGGATAGGCAGGCCGCACGGTGGCATGCAGAAAAGTGCATAGCAGGCAGTAATTGTTGTATCCTGTAAAGGTTTTCCGCAACGGTTTGGGCGCCGAAACCTAACTGTCGGTGGTTAGCTCGTCCACTCCGATTTACCAAACTCCAATATTACTAACTAACACCCGTCAATTCCGCGGTTGGTGCTTACAGGTATTAACTAATACTGATATTAGTTTAATTGCGGCTACTGTTAGCTGCGGCGGCTAAGCGACTACTGTTAGTCGTCCGCCATCTAAATGCCGCACTGTTGCGGAAGTCCATGGGCGCCGGCGGATCCAACGACTACTGTTAGTCGTCCGCCATTCAAGTGCCGCACTGTTGCGGAAGTGCATGGGCGCCGGCGGCTAAGCGACTACTGTTAGTCGTCCGCCATCCAAATGCCGCACT